AAACCAACCCCAGTCACACAGCAGAAGGCCATAGTTGCGAGGCCCTGCCGAGCCCTAACATGACGGCGAGGCGGGAAACGCGCCGTGCCGAGAGGCGCATACACCCACCCGGGTAAACTACCAGAGGGTTAAAGCTCACCTCGGAGACACCCTCCAAAATCAGCAACAGCATCAGAGGGAGCAGTCTCCTCATGGGGGCGCAACCTACATAAGGCCTCCCACAAGCCCAGGAAAGCGCAGCAACATGCACCCACGGTGAAGGCTCAAACATGGCCGGCGCCCAAGCAGAAGAGCCCGACGAAACTATCCGCAAGACAGAGACAGGAACTGACTAAAAGCAAACCACAGCCCTGCACCAAACCTGACAAGCCATGGAGAACCCTGTTCTAGACCACCGAAAAGCACAGCCTTTCATCTGGGACTCAAAACCTGGCTCGCTCCAGTGCAAACAAGGACTACGCTTGGGTGAAACGAGGGATAGGGTGAACGCAAATGGTGGGGGTGTTGAGGCAGGGGGCCCTGTTAGGCTTCATTAGCTAGCATTGAACACACACTCCTGTTACACCCTGGAGCAGACCACACTCTACTCCTCTGAAACTAGCTCTCAAGTCAGGGAGTTTATGTTTATTTCTGCTGCAGCTGTCTTACTAATGGCAACACAATGTCTCGCCACACAACACCCAGGGGTATCAACTACTCATAGCTTAGCATAGAATGTCATATCAAGCAAAGTTGTCTTCAAGCGGGTTTGCTATCAAACTGACTTGTTCTCAAATGTCTTTGTTGTATTAATTTGCCTCTATATCAAATACGTGCTACGTTCTTTTATACTTGGATTTCCATCTCTGCTGTCTCCCCTTATGCTGTTTAATAACACTGCAGCGCGAATTGCTACTAATACTGCGCCCAGAGGTCTACCACCCCGATAGCGTGGTTACTTACAACTGTACATGTAAATATTAACTAGTGAGCTGCTGATTGTATCCATATGTACCTAATCATAGGCAGTTGAAACTGTGACAGGCTTACCGTATGTTTATTAAAATAGGAATCGATAGTATTCTTCATAACATAACTTCACGGGCTCACACACATAAGTGGTTGCTACTCTCACATGCTTGCTAAATATTTGCAGCAAAACCAGAGTGGTATGACCTCCTATTTAGTCTAGCTTCTGCAGGACTGGAAATTATTGTGTTTTTCTCAATTTCACCTAAAATATATGTTTGTTTATTGAATAGACACTTCAATCTAGCTTGAGTTCTAATATTAAACCATAATGAAAAATGCGCAGCTTTAACAAATGCCACGCTATTACTTCTGTGGATATGTGTATGCATGCTGTCGTGGCATTCTATACATGTTTGTCAATCCTTTGCACAACAAAAATAAAGAAATTAAAAAAAAATTAAATAAGGAACACAACTGCAGAAAATTAAATTAGTAACCATGCCTTTAAAAGAATCACTAAAATCGAATGGAAAAAAAAACTATTTAAGAAGTCCTTGGGAAAAAAATGCACTGAGGCTCTCAATATTTCTAACATCCCATCAATCGGTCAACAGTGGAATAGCAGGTTGCAGAGCAAGGTATCTATAAGCAGATAGTGTTGCAGTAGTAGTCGTAGCAAGTATTAGCAACAATGTTATTGTGATAGTTAGAGTAGCAGATTGTAGCAAAATATAAGTATAGAAGTGAATCCAAATTATACTTAGGCTGCTTAGGAGGCTTCAGTAACTTTTAAAGGACCACTCTAGGCACCCAGACCACTTCAGCTTAATGAAGTGGTCTGGGTGCCAGGTCCTTCTAGGGTTAACCCATTTTTTTTATAAACATAGCAGTTTCAGAGAAACTGCTATGTTTATGAATGGGTTAAGCCTTCCCCCTGTTTCCTCTAGTGGCTGTCTGATTGACAGCCACTAGAGGCGCTTGCGTGCTTCTCACTGTGATTTTCACTGTGATTTTCTCCCTGTGTAAATGCTTTCCTATGCGACGGGCTGAATGCGCGCGCAGCGCTTGCCGCGCGTGCGCATTCAGCCCAGGAGGAGGAACGGAGGAGGAGAGGAAGCAGAGAGGGGGCCCAGCGCTGGAAAAAGGTAAGTTTTTAACCCTTTCCTCCTTCCAGAGCCGGGCGGGAGGGGGTCCCTGAGGGTGGGGGCACCCTCAGGGCACTATAGTGCCAGGAAAACGAGTATGTTTTCCTGGCACTATAGTGGTCCTTTAAGTTGGTCTTCAAACAGTCCGTTTCTTTGGAGCAGGAGAAATCAGCAATGTCTGTAATCCAAAATATAGGTTCGTGGGTTAGACAGGTCAGCTATGTCGGTAAGGAGGGTCCAGTTTGGTATATGATGAATGAATAATAGTGGAGCTCAGAATGTAAGATTTTCTTTTGAACTAGCAAATTGACTAAGTGTTTTGCATTTGGCGTGGCTTCCCTATAAGACGGGGAAGACTTGCGTCATACACATGGGAGAAGTTTCAAACGGCGAAACCCAGAAGTAGCTCAGAGGGATCGAGGTTCAGTAAGGTCTGACAGAATGCCTGGGAGAACTAAACTTAATACCAAAGTATCAGAGCAAAATGGTATAGGCATGGCATTCTGGTAGTACATAACCACTGATTTAAAATGGTAAAACAAATGCCCACCCCATAACACAGACAAATAAAAGGAATATTCTTAATTAAATGTGTATCTGTATGTAGATACAGATATACTTGGGTACTGACTGACATAACCTAAGTCAAATGGTGAAACAATTAAGCCAGCGTTGGTAATTGGTGAGACCTCACTAATTACCTAGCTGCATTAAGAGGCCCTACCTATGAATTTGGGTTGTGGGCAGTATTCCACCGTAGTTGGGGTGGGGAGTTGGCCTCTCGGTGACAATTCTAAGGTTTAAGAAGAAAAAGACAGACAGACTGTGATATATGAGGCCTAGGCTATTTAGCCAAGAATGGCTGTATAGCGATGCGCTAATTATGGCTTGGGCCATGTGGCGAAATCCTCAGTGAATGAGGATGGAAGTTGACCTTGCAAGGTCCCCTATCTAATGTCACAAAAAGCCAAAACACTACCTATGGACATGAGTGGATGGCTCGTTTCGAGGGAATGATAGGATGAATGAATCATAGTGCAGTTACTCAGATTGACCTTTAAGATAAAAGAAGAATCAAAGCTGGTAACCAGTTCCCTGGCCAAGTACGAATAAGAACAACATCCAAAACTAACTATGGTATAGAGTAACATATTGGATGAATTAGTAACTTTGCCTATGTAATAGTAAACCATGGTAAGCTGACTATTACTTGGAACTAAAAGTAATGAACCCATACTTAAACCTATAAGTAAGCCCTCTTATGATACACAACAAATTCGGCACCTTGAAATCAACACACTCAATGGTTTGTGCATGTAGCTAGGTCCTCTAAAAAGAACTACACTTTGTTAAGTGCACAGTGTAACAAACATAAAACTAGAACAAAGCATCAGATAGTATACCTGGTGAAAGGCCAATGGGCCCAGTGAAACAGGTACTAAAATGACTTAACTGACCTAGGGTACCCAAATAATGCCCAACCAAGGCAGGGAAACTGGTAAAAAAAGAGGCCTATTGAAACAACAGAAGAGAAACTAATAGAACCCATGCACGGGGAGTATCACGAACCACATGTAGTGCTTATACCAAACCAAACCCTGAAATTTTGAACCGAACAAAAAGTATCGAATGTCATCCTAACACGAATGAACAAACTGTACTCATTCCGTTAGGATGAAATTCAGTGATTTCACCATTGCCCTATCTAAATGACAGGACGTTCGAACAGTGAATGAAGCAACATGAAAACACAAGAGGACAGGTGAGTATTATGAGGAAATTTCTTTGACCACAGTAAATGGAGCAAACTTAAGTTCTTCCTTGGGTCAAAGTCCATACTTTGTCTTATGTTTTAAAGAAAACTAGATCAGATAGTAAGAAAAGAAGAACAGATCCTGAGAGAGAAGAGGAAGCGATCGAGGAAAGGTAAGTTCGGCATGACAGTGCCGCTTTAATATAGTTGTTCTGTCTGTCCCCGCAGACTCTTTAATGTAAACATTGCCTTTTTAAGAGAAAAGGCAGTGTTTACATTACCGCCTAGTGCAGGGCCGGTGCAAGGATTTTTGCCGCCCTAGGCAAAAGAAGGATTTGCTTCTTCTGAACATCGCAATGCCTCACCTATAGAACTAATGCTAGTGCTGTACACAGTGTGTGTTTACATTAAAAGGCCTGCAGGGACAAACTATAGACACCAGAACAACTTTATTAAGCTGCAGTGGTTCTGGGGACTATAGTGTCCATTTAATGTGAGGTAAATTAGAGATTAGTGTCACTAATAATATACTAGATTGCCTACTTACAATCAGATGAGGATGATGATGGGCTGTGGCTGCAGTCTGGCTCCACTGGTCTGGTGTAGAACAGGATATCTGGAGGCTGCTTGTAACTGTGGTCACAAAATTCAATGTTCTGGGAGAACGGAAGTAGTTTCCATTTTTGGGCTTCTATATAGCCAAGGCTTGGGCTCTAGGCTCTGGACAGTAGTATATGCCTATAAAGTTTTAATTTTATAAGTCTACTCTATGTTCTACCTAAGGAAGTTACTGGGAGCGGAGTGTGTAGGGATGTTAGTAACGTTACTGTAGAGGATTTAATGTGTGTGTTTACGAATGTAGTGTATAGGGGATACTAGCTTGTAGGGATGGTGTAGTGGAAGAGGTGTGTGTGTGTGTGTGTGTGCAAGTGGGATGTATTGTGTTTTGTTGTGTGTGTAAGGATGTATTGTGGGGAATTTGTGTTTGTATGTATAAGGGACAAAGTGTTTTGTGTATGGGTGGATGCAGTGTGTGTCTGTAAGGGGTGCGTTGAGTGTGTGTAAGAGATGCATTGTGTTTCTGTGTGTGTAAGAGAAGCAGTGTGTGTTTGCATGTGTGTAAGGAATGCATTGTGTGTTTCTGTGTATATGTGCAAATGATGCATTGTCTTTATGTGTAAGGGTTGCATTGTGTGTTTTTCTGTGTGTAAGGGAAGCATGTTGTGTTTCTGTGTGTATAGGGATGCATTGTGTGTGTGTGTGTGTGTGTGTGTACGCGCGCGTGGTGTGAAAGAGCTCCCTGTCTCCCTGTCCTATAGAGCTCTCCCTTCCATTCCTTAGAGATCTCCCCTGCCCCTTAGTGGTCTCTCCTTCCCCCCCCCACCTCCCTTAGTGGTGTCCTTTTCTCCCCGACTTTCCATTAGTGGTCTCTCCTCTCCCCCCACCCTTCCCTAGTGATCTATCCTCCACCCCCCTCCCTTAGCGGTCTCTCCTCACACCCCTCCCCTAGTGGTCTCTCCACCACCCCCTCCCTCCTTTAGTGGTCTCTCCCTCCCCTACGTTCTCATCTCCCACCCCTTGTGTTCTCCTCTTATTCCCCCCCTCCCTGTGTTTTCCTCTTATTCCCCACTCCCTGTGTTCTCCTCTTCTTCTCCTCCCTGTAATCTTCTCTTCTTCTCCCCCCTTCCCTCCCTGTAATCGCTGCTTCTCCCCCCGTAATCTTCTCTTCTTCTCCCCCCATAATCTTCTCTTCTTCTCCCCCCCAATCTTCTCCCCCCTCCCATCAATCATCTCCCCCCCACTTCCCTCCCATCAATCATCTCCCCCCCTCCTTCCCTCCCATCAATCATCTCCCCCCTCCCTCTCTCTTATCAAATCTCCCTCCCCAACCACCCCCATCCATCATCCCTCCTCCCTCCCCTCAATCACCCTCCCTCCCTCCCATCAATCATCTCCCTCCCATCAATCATCTCCCTCCCATCAATCACCCTCCCTCCCACTCAATCACCCTCCCTCCCCATCAATCACCCCCTCCCTCTTATCAAATCATCTCCTCCCCACCATCTCCCCTAATCCATCATCCCTCCTCCCTCCTCCCATCAATCATCTCCCTCCCTCCCTCCCATCAATCATCTCCCTCCCTCCCATCAATCATCTCCTCCCCATCAATCATCTCCCTCCCATCAATCATCTCCCTCCCTCCCCATCAATCATTCCTCCCTCTCTTATCAAATCATCTCCTCCCTCAACTACTCCCTCCCCATCAATCATCTCCTCCCTCCCCATCAATCATCCCCAATCATCTCCTCCCTCCCATCAATCATCTCCCCAATCACCCCCCTCCCTCCCATCAACTTCATCTCCCTCCCTCCCCATCACCCCATCTCCCCCTCCCTCCCCATCACAATCACCCTCCTCCCCCATCAATCACTCTCCCCCATCAATCATCTCCCCCATCAATCATCTCCTCCCATCAATCATCTCCCTCCCTCCCCATCAATCATCTCCCCCACCTCCCCATCAATCATCTCCCTCCCTCCCATCAGCTTCTCCTCACCTCACCTCCCCTGCCCTGTAGCGTGGCCGAGCTCCTTTCCGGTCCCGCGACCCGGCGGGACTGACAGGAAGTGCACACTCAGCTCTCCATAGAGCGCTCAGGCGGCTGCAGAATTTAAAGGGCAGGCGATGGGGGCGCAGGGCGCCCCCTCCTATATGGCGCCCTAGGCGGCTGCCTAGTTCGCCTTATAGGAAGCGCCGGCCCTGGCCTAGTGGCAGTGACTATGATTCAATGAATCTCTATGAGGAGATGCTGATTGACGTAATGCGTTGTTTTGCCACACATGGGTAATAGCCTCTTAATGCTTTCCTATGGGAAAGCATTGGATTAGCTGAGATCATCAATCTTGCCAAAGAGACATAGCGGGGGCAGAGTCAGCCACAGAGAGATCCGAGTGGTGCTTCAATAAAGGTAAGTTTCATACCATTTTAACTTGGGCAAGGGGGGGGGGCAGCTAACTAAAATGTGTTTTTAATGTTGTGTTTTTAATGATACAGAACTTTGGTCCAGGGTTGAAGGTTACGATGAGACCCCAGCCAAGCTGCGGCGGCTAGGGGCTGGAAGTGCTTATGAGTCCTGGTGAAGTGCTTATGGTAGCTCGGTGATCACTAGGAAGCATGGCGGAGGTACTCAGTTGGGGTACCAGGCGGTCTGCCACATCTGGTGGGAGCGGTGGGATGGCTTCCTAGTGAGTGGAGAAGCACCCCGGGGACACTGGAATACCATATGTATTACTGACAAGAGGGGTGGTGCTAGCATTCATGCAGCATCCCTGTCTGCAGAGAAATTAAGAAGGATGGAGTGAGCTAGCCCCCGGGTAGATGTCCCCATATGAGAAGAAGTTCCTCTGGAGACTCTAGAGCAACTTGGACCAACAGGATGGGCCTGTCTTGATGGGCATACTGGACTGGAGAATGTTCAGCTTCGGCAGGGAGATAGCCTCTCAAACGAAGAGCAACGGTTCCAGGCAGCTGCATCTCCTGGAAAAGCAACCCCTAAAGGAGTGGGTGACAGAGCTTGAGAACCTGGTCTGGAAGGAGCTGTGGCTGGACGAGGCTTACCCGGCGCTAGAGTGGTACGCGACTTGGCACAACCAGTGTATGACTGAAGATAGTGTGCCAGAGGGTGAGGACTATAATGGTCCTGGCCTATTATGGAAGCCTTTGAGGAGGGCATTGACTATGGAAGTTCAGCAGAATTTTGGCTCTAGGACATCCATAGAATCGTGGAAGCACTGATGGATTTTCATGGAGCCGACAACCTGGGACCAGTCCTGATTCATCTGGCCACTATAGAATGGGAGCTGGAGCAGTATTACCAATGCCTGTTCAGCTCGGTTCAGCGGT